CACCTGAGGAATATTAGTCCAAAAGTAATTCTCCTTTTAGTTCTAGTTTGGTCTCCACCAACTCCTGAGAAAGATATATACAGTATCTCTTTTACTTTCTTCGGCTGTTTTGTTAACATTCTCACTTTTTTGTGTATACAGAAACAACGCTGAGTCAACTCTTACATGGTGGAGCTGGTTAACCAAAGTCATACTGTGTGTGAATTTCAGTCTGGGGCGAACTTCATTGTTAGGCCTTACAAGTGATGACATTTTGAAAATGAAGAATGACATCATAACATTTAAATAAGGATATGTTTGCAAAGCAAGGAACATTTTTGAAGAGAAAGTTAGGAAAATAATGCATTTTTCAAAAGAGAGGATATTTAGCAAATTAACAATATACACATTTTTAAATAATGGTGGTATTTATCAAATGTACAGATATTTTGTCAGGTCAAAGTACCTTTGGTGGTAAAGATGCACAGAGACATACTGTATCCGACGTAATAGCCTACTGCAGATCCTCTGGTTAAAGATTTTTTTTCTGCTCTTTAGAACATAAAAAGTACACATTTCCTTGAATGTGAAGTTATTATCAGCATAAGCTATATCCTTGGCTACATGGAAATATGAACATCTAAAATGGGACAAAAATGCTCTGTACACTCATGTGCTTTTTAAGTATGACCCTATATATACTAATTTCCACAACTTTATCCACGATCCACTGTTTCTCTGCGTCTTATTTTCTCTCCTTTTAACGACCCAAACGGCTACAGAAATACACAAAGTCAAACATGCGGCCAGAGGTGATAATTCTGAACAAATACTCATGAAATATTTTCAAATGTTTGTATAAAATAAAGCTGACAAACCTTTGGGAAATCAGCTACACCCTCGGAGTCACATGGACAAACACAGGCCCCTGTCCGTTAGAGGTCACATGTGGGCTCGTAGCTCATAAAGCTGGTGGTGAGAGGGGCTGTGGAGGGGGGGCGAATGTGACACTGTGACATTGACGGACATATTTACCGTAACCTCGCCCTGGCCTTGACTGAAGAGAACGCTGTAATTCTTCTCTTCATTACAACCCTTGTAGGTTCACATCTGCAGCTGGCGGACAGGGGGTGAAGACGCATGCCTTCACTTAATGTGTGTGATTCATTTTGGACATCATTATAGCATTTTTTTTAATTGATTATGGTGGCGTAATTATTCGTTTATAGAAATATGTCACAATCCTGGGAAAAAAAGGGTGCAGACAGACTTTGTTTTCTTTACACTTTTCAAATCTCGGTGGCCTCAAGGCGGCATAGTTTAGTTTTTGTTCTCTTACTAGAAGTGACTAGGTTCAAACGCAGGTCAGGGACAGGCCTAAAGAAAGGGAAGAAATACCAAAATGAAAAACAATATATTACATGATATTAAAAAGTCCTGCATTGGAAACAATACTGGAACAGTGATTCTTCATTGGACCTTATGCTGCCCTGGTAAGTGTGAATTAAAGTCTAACAATAATAATAATCAGGGCTGTTTGAGGTTGGCTAGTATTGGGGATGGACACTATACCTCTGGCCCTTCAAATTATAAATCCGTGGTTATGTGCACTGAATTCTGAAGGAGTCCCAAAACCTCGGAAATGCATTTTTGCACATCCAGGTACTCATGTTTCAAAGATTGGTGTTAAAATATATTTTTGGTTGGATGAAAAATGTATAGAAAAATACAAGCATAAGAGTTTCAAACACTTTGTAATTCAAGATAAATACATCAGTACCTACTCCACTTTTGAATTTAGAAGCTTAAGTGTCTTAAAATAGACAGCACTTAACACGAGGAAACCCATCCACTCTGCGGTAAGTATATGTGCTGCTTATTGTCAGTGAATCCGAGAGTCAAATGAGCTAAATTCTACCACTCTAATTACTGTAAAGTAATTCTACAGCTAGCTTAGCTTAGCATTCAGACTGAAAGTGTGATGTAGCCTAGCTTTTCGCAAATTATATATAAAAGTCCTATAAAGCTCACAAATTAACACATTCAACCTTGTTTGATTACATTTGTAAAATAAACTAAGTGCAAAACTCAATTTTAAGAGAGTTTATTCATGAAAATTGCTTTTAAATATACATTCCCCTAAATTAGCCAAAATATGTGATTACAGTTTAAGAAGCCAATAGGGGCGGGGTGTATTTACAGTATTAAGTATTTGTGTTTTCAGACTCATTACATTCTGACCTACATTTCCCTTACATTGCTTTTCTTTTCCACCTTATTTCTCTCTCAGTCTCTCGCTGACAGGCCTAGCTGGCAGTACGACTCAGATTGGTGTGAAATCGCCGCCTAACAGGCGGGAAATTGGCTCTGTTATTTTTGGAGCAGAGTCATGGGGGACCGTCGGACCATCATCCTCTCTCTAATGAGCAGGTGATGGAGGCGTAGCTGTGGAGGGAGGGGGGGGGGAGAGATTCACAGCATCTCAAACACACATGGCAGATGTACAGATGAGAGCGAAAAAAGAGGTTGAGAGAAAGCAGAGTAAAGAGAAAAAGAAGGAAAGAGATATATGTGATGAGATAAGGTTTTACGCTAACATGAATATCAACATCAGATTAGCCCAATATTAATTAGCCCTGCTGACATCCGTCACTCGTGCAAATGAGCCCTCACAGAGCCGGCCTGTGCACAGTGTGAGATGATTGAAGCCTGTTGGGTGTTGGTGAGGAGGAAGGAGCAGATTCCATCTTTAGCATGTCTCCTACATGTATAACGAGGAACATATAGATAAAGGAAATGGTTCCTAAGCTTTTTTCTATAAAAAGGTACCCCTTATGGACATTTTCAAATGGATATTAAAGACTATTAAAAAGTCGTTTTAAGACAACATAATATTAGAAAATAAATCTATGCCATTTCTTAGGCTTATGAAGATACTTCTTACCAAAAACCAATATCCAAATTATACATTGCTCTTCCAAATTGAAAAGGAACCCATACTCAACAGAGGGTAATTTCACAATACCACTGGAATAATGGGATCTGCAGACAGCAATGGCTAATGACAAGCTGTCCCTCCTGGGGAGAATTCAGCTGGAGGAATGTGACTCCATTTGTCTTTACTGCAGCTCAAAAGACTAACCACTCTAATCAGGCTGCCTGCTGGAGGTCCTGTTGGAGCGCAGTGGCAAACCACTTTCACATTTTCTGGAATCGTCCCTCCTTGGCTTCATGTAGGTCAACAGGGTCCTTGAGGCAGACTTTAAAAACGAAAATCTATTTTAATTTCAAAATGAAGTACCTTGGTGATCTGGGCCTCACTGCGCAAAGCGAGATAAATACTTTTATGGGTGTTGATGGAAAAAGGATTTGACTGACTGACTTAACAACATATAGTACACAAGAGAAACAGATATTTAAAAAACTTGCTTTACGTCTCTGATGACAATTGGTCAAAATGACTTACCAATGTGGCCTAATGCAGGTAATTGATAGCAGTAACATACAGTACATGCATTAAGGGCTTATCAGCTTAACTAGACAGCATTAAAACATGTTTTAAGTTTTGTACTGCCTGATTTTAACGTATTCCATAGCTTAAGCCTTACACGACGAGAGATAGATTTCAATTAAGCTAATTATTTGTATTTGTTTTGCCTATGTTTGTGTTGCATGTTCAATCTGAAATCCTTTAAGGTCATTTAATATGCAAGGCTGAATATGTGCAATCCTTTTTGTTTAAAGGGGACCTATCATGCAAAATGCACTTTTGTACGTCTTTTATACATGACTATGTGTCCCCGGTGTTCCAGGGAACTCACCAAGTGTCAGAAAACACAACCCTCTCTATTTTCCTCCATACCCAAATCTCTAAAAAAGGGGCTGCAACGGATCTGATAAAAACTGATCCAGATTTGAACACTGTCCTGACGTCAGGACAGTGGGGCTACGGCTATTGGGCCAACTCCACCAATCAGGAGGAGACAGCCACGGCCATTGCCGTTCGAAAGCGCTGGAGACGCTGTAGTACATATGCCAGGCCTGTAGGTGGTGCTGTTCTCACAGAATCTGCCCTTGCAACTAAAGAGCTAAAAAATGTCAAATTGAGCAAAATGAGGCATGGCTAAAATGCATGATCTGTTTGGTATTTTTTTTTTTTTAAAGTATAAATATGCCTTATATAGGTATGGTCCTACACTATATTATTCAAATATAGCATGATAGGTCCACTTTAAGTATATCTAACACCTTCACCTTGTAACCCCTGTGTGCTAATAAGCTATGCGTTGAGGGGGCTAAAAATGTATGTGAGAAGCACTTGATTGACAATTAGACAGTGGGTCAGCAATATATTTCACGGACTTTGCGGAAATGCGCCTCCAACAATGGGAACTATGTTCTTAAAAGGAAAACTTTATAATTGTAAATAACCAACAAATATATATTATTTGAAGATAAGGTTAACTTTTGTTCAAGTTTGTATTAAAACAATACTCGCATGCAGATCTGTACATTAAAACAACAAAATAAGTGGTACATTCGAGGCCCTCTGGAAAGAACAGCACGTTCCTGATATCACTGATGAAAAATGTGATAAATTAATTAACCTAAATTAGGTAATGAAAAAATCGACTTGACTATTTTCTTGACTATTTTCGAATTAGATCTGAATCACTGGCGGACACACGAATAGCAAGAATCTGCATCTGCGAAACCAATTTGTGGATCATTCATATTGTTTTAAATTAGCTTAGCTTCTCCACAAGCTGTCCATGTAATCAGCTCAGGGTAACCACAGAGTACCACTGGTTGGGAATCACTGCAATACATTAAAGTCCCATAATGCACCATCCCATCTTCAGCAAGCAGAACAACGCCTAGAACAGAGAACATAAAGAGGACTTAACATTAATAAACACTCCTACACTTCTGCCATCACCACCACACTGCAGTGTTAAACTCTGATCCTTTGTGATTCAGACATGCAGATTCAGAGGAAGATCTGCAGAGACACTCCTCAGTTTTCAAGACTGCATATTTATTCATTTCATATGCATATGTGGTTTGAATCAACTCCAAACCTCAACATACATGCGACAAATCGTCTCCTCATGACTCAGGGAGTGCACAGTCACTGGTCTCCCTGGTTTTACTGGAGCTTACTCACGCCCACTGGAAGGCATCATACAGTTTTCACCACGGTCCATCAATTCAGACAACACTGAATTAATACACACTCACACACACACCACATATCTGGCAGAGCCCACAGATCCTTCAGAAATATTCTTTTTTTTCCTCCTAACTGTAGGTGTAATGGCGTTCAAAGCAGAAGCTAAACACTGCCCCCTACAGTCTGATATGCAGTAGTCATTCAATGAAAAAGGATTGATACAGTTGTCCAACAAGTGTTCACATTTAATCCATAGCTTTTGCTATCTATTAATGTCACTCTTTAACATGTTCTTTTATAAACAGCACAGTTAATCATTATGCTAGGAGTCAAGTTTCACAATTATAACTCTCAAACCAAATTCTGCACAAGTCAGCACAAACCACTAGTGGAATTCAGCATTTTAGCATAATTTGCTACATTATTGAAAATTCAATGCTGGAAAACATGCCCTCCAATCAGTTTAATCTTTCCAAAACATTTTTACTTAAGGGAAATAAGCAATGATACAGGAGTAAAAGTAATCATTATGCAATATGGCCCATTTCGGAATATAATATTAAATAATGATATTATAAATATTGATGATTTAATGTGTTTATCACTTTAATGTTGAACTTGGTTAAGATGGGGTTTATGTGAATTACTTCATATACTGCTGGGTAGCTTAACCTACAATAATTCATCATCATTTATAAGTTGATTTATATTTTGTATGAATTAACTGAATCTGCAAAGTAACTAGTATTTAAAACTATAAAATAAATGTAGTGTCACTTCTGCCCACAAAATGTAGTGAAGTAAAAGCAAAAAGTAACATCATGTGAAATGTAGTTGTGTTACAATCGACCACTTTATGTGTAACTGTTTACAATATAGCCCACTTACTCTTTATTGTATATTCTATCAATTTATCAGCCTAAACAAATCTTTGTCTTTGAACTTGTTGCTATTTTTCATGAACCCCGTCTCCTCACATTATATTATTATTGTTGGTACCAATAAAGTCCTCCAGTGTTAGACAGTCTGGTCTGTGTGCAGCTGATGTCCGGGACTCATTTTGGTTCAGTCTCGTGGCGTTCCAGCGCGGGGGGCAACGTGGTCCCACAGGGGCCGTGGAAATGGAACCTTAAACAGACAGAGAAAAAGAAACTTGCTGTGAATTAAATCAGTGATCATTAATTATGTGAGTGTCTGAGTTGGTGACAGTAAATGAAACACACTTGAAGCGCATGGTGGCCGGCGTGTCCTCCATGTTGAATTCGGCCACAGGGACACCTCTGGCTGCCACCTGAGGAGCAAACATGGCGGCTGGATACACAACGGATGAAGTGCCAACCTGCAGGGGCAGATTTGATTGAAAAAGTATCAAGAAAGTGAATAACTCCTGCTTTTTTTTTTTAAGGACTCAGCTTTTTTTCGGAACAACCAGTCATGTTTTCAAAGCATTTTTATGACATATATAAAACCTTTAATAATTACATTAGTGATTTTGGCAGGAGTATGTCCTGCCAAAATCACTAATGTGATTTATTTTCTTTCTTTCTTTCTTTCTCTTTTTCTCTCTCTCTCTCTCTCACTCTCACTCTCTCACTCTCACTCTCACTCTCTCTCTCTCACTCTCACTCACTCACACTCACACACACACACCACAAGGCAGAGGTCACAGCTGTCCAACACTTCCTCTGCGCGGGAGAGGATGTCTGAGTCCAGAGTCTCTCCAAACCAAACCACAGCTGGTCTCAGGAGACCGTGACAACCTTTCTGCTCACACCTGAAACACACACACACTTTGTCAAGACAAATAACCTCATTTGAAAAGAGCACAGCATGAGAAAAAAAAAAAAAAGTGAGTGTGTCTCTTACCTGGGCAGCTGCTGAACAGGGATCTGAGCGTCCTCTGTGTCGGGGTCTGGTGCTCTGAGGAGGCCGATTGGTAGAAAGAAAGGGTGATTACATCAAAATACACCTTAAAATTCTTCCAGGCAAAGCATGTTTCTTTATAATGAGAGCATTGCTAGTACGACGGCTGTCTTTTCAAATGTTTTCCCTTAGTTATTGACACAATAACAACAAAAATATCGGAAGGTATCATAAAAAACACTATAAGTATAGCCTGAAAATGTTATTACTTACATTTATTACATATTCATCGCTTATATGATCCAAAATATACATATCAGTTTTAACATTATCTGCTATGATAATTATGTTGAATTGTATCCCAGGACTGCGTCATTGTATCCACAAAAAAGACTAAATTGATTGGTCGAACATTTCAGCTTTTAAAAAACATCCATTTTAAATGTCAGATAAGTGACAAGTGACATTTCATTGCGTTCACAGATTTCCCTTTCAACGCCTCATCAGGTGTTATTTAGCTGCTGACATCTGACAGGCTGAAATGGGCCTTTTTTTCCCTCTGGCATTTAGTGCTCAAATGATTATGATCAATATCTCTAACACATTTTTCATATTGTTGAGGAAAACAATCCAATGATCCAAACAACACGAGATAAAGCTCTTACCCTTTGCCCTTCAGAGCGCCACAGATGGGGCTATGGTAATTGGCAGCTTCATGACCGCAGCTCATACAGCGTGTTTTAAACAGACTTCCTGGGTTAACAAAACAAGAGACAACAGATCAACGCCGAAACAAATTGTCAATGGATTACTCAAAAGACAGCAAATTACCAAACACATGTTTTTAATTAATAGTTTTTACTAATATGTCAACTACAAATGCCACATATTTGTGAGTCCAGCTTCCCTAGTCTATTCATCTTTAAAACCTAAACTATGTTTTTTTCCCTAATTTGTTGACATTTTATGGACTCGTAAACATTATGTCCTTTTTTAAAATAATAACCGGATATACTATTTTTGAGAAAAATCAAGTGAACAGATGGAAGGACAAATAATTATTCTCTTAATTTGTTAATTAGCCAATACAATGTCAGATTACAGTAAATACATGAACATTTGCCAACATTCGAGGGGATCAAATGTCCTGTTTCGTCTGTCAGACAGGAAAAGCAAAACATCCTCAAAACGTAGAAGCTGAAACCAGAAAATGTTTGCAGTAAAAAATACATACATTTTAAGTTACGCAGTTAGCATAGATTATCGTATTGAATCCATGCTGGCATTCGGTGTCTTGAGGGTTTTCTACTTGCCGTGGAGCTCCAGGATGTTTTTGGATCCGGCACGGCGGTGGAGCTCGTCAATATTTTGAGTGATGACTGTAACGTTGCGTCCCTGTTTGATCAGTCGCTCCTCACACTCTGTGATGGCCAGGTGGGCGGGGTTGGGATCTTTTGTCAGCATGACCTCACGGCGGTAATGGTAAAACTCCCAAACACGGGAGGGGTTCCTGGAGAAGGCCTCTGGAGTGGCAAGTTGCTTAAACATAAGAATAAACTGAATGTTAATAAAGGTTTGATAGTACTGACAAAAAATGTGTGCTGATCGATCGTCCCTGGGAAAAAATATTCCCACCAAAAGTACTTTAAATTGTTTTTGCTTGTTGAACATTAATGCTAAACTAGAGAATGCAATTCCTGAAGAAATTGCTAGTGGGAATGCTTTATGCTGAAAAGCTGACGCTGAATTGCTATGCTGAAATGTAATGTGTAAGAAGAAAGTGAATAATTTAGATTGAAATGATACATGAACACTGGGGGCTTGAATGTGTGATGAGAGAAGAAAAGAAAGTAAAAAAGCTTGGAAAAGCAGCAGAATATTTGAACTGCAAACTTTTGAACTAACTTGATGGTGAATGATCTGTCGCCATGCCAACGGCATTTTATGACATCCCATAATACAGCATCGTTACCAAACCTGTGAAGTTTTGGGCCATTTGGAGCATTTTCACTGAAGTTATGAGAAAACCGTGTTTCATGGCGGGCATTGTGTTGCCATGGCAACGGCATGTCCCGTAGATGTCTTCACGGCTGGACTGTTAGCACACATGTGAAGTTTGAGCACTTTTTGAACATTTTCATAGGAGTTATAGCGACATCGTCTTTTATGGCGAGGTATGCGTTTCCATAGAAACGGCATATGGTGAGATCTCAGATTTGGCGTAGAGTTGTTGAGGCATGGACCGGTGATATACAAGTGAAGATTGGGGGACGATTGTACCGTGTCCATTGGACTTACAGCGACATTGTGTTTCATGGCGAGTGGTCTGTCGCCATGGCAACGGCATTTGATGACACCCCATAATACGCTTAGATGCGTTGATGGCTGCATCGTTACCAAACCTGTGAAGTTTTGGGCCATTTGGAGCATTTTCACTGAAGTTATGAGAAAACCGTGTTTCATGGCGAGTGGTCTGTCGCCATGGCAACGGCATTTGATGACACCCCATAATACGCTTAGATGCGTTGATGGCTGCATCGTTACCAAACCTGTGAAGTTTTGGGCCATTTGGAGCATTTTCACTGAAGTTATGAGAAAACCGTGTTTCATGGCGGGCATTGTGTTGCCATGGCAACGGCATGTCCCGTAGATGTCTTTACGGCTGGACTGTTAGCACACATGTGAAGTTTGAGCACATTTTGAACATTTTCATAGGAGTTATAGCGACATCGTCTTTTATGGCGAGGGATGCGTTTCCATGGAAACAGCATATGGTGAGATCTCAGATTTGGCGTCGAGCTGTTGAGGCATGGACCGGTGATATACAAGTGAAGATTGGGGGACGATTGGACCGTGTCCATTGGACTTACAGCGACATTGTGTTTCAGGGCGAGTGGTCTGTCGGTGACACCCCATAATACGCTTAGATGCGTTGATGGCTGCATCGTTACCAAACCTGTCAATGTGACATCATCGTGTTCCATGACACAGGTGTTTATATTTGAGCTAACGACGACAGCTGTGTGTCACCAATAATGTATAAAATAGGTGGAACATGTTGAAGTCAGTATGAAGTCTCCATCAGACAGAAAAGAATAGGCTCATACAGTCTGTTAAACTCCAGTGACCACGTCGTTAGCTCAAACACGAACACCTGTGTGTTATGACATCATCGTGTTCCATGACACAGGTGTTTATAGTTGAGCTAACGAGCTATGAAGAGATCAAAGGTTTGCATTGTTCTGAATGAGAGATGAACCTTTTACATGTGAACGTTTTGTGGAAGAACGATAACAGATATCTGTGAAATTTCAAAACGTGAAGCATGTCAAGGAAGTTGAGTATCTGAAGTGTAATTTTTGTGTACTTTCGGGTTAATAATGTGGCCTTTTTGGCAGTTTAACTAAATGTGTGCGGCTGCTGCTGTGAGGAAATATCTGCCTGAAATTACAATGGGCTTTAATGGAGACATGTTGAACGTTTTTGTCACTTCATGCCCTCAAGAGGCATTTTGTTTAATTATTTTTGCTTAATTATTTGTAATTCTTCAAGCTACGAGATGTTTTCCTACGTTTGTCATGAAAAATTATGTCTCAAGAATGTAGGGTTTGGGATTATGGCAGTTTTAAAAAAAAAAATGAAGGCACATTTCAAGATTTCTTACCCTCTAGCTGTGACATCACGCACTCTAGTTCATGTTAAAATCTGAAGAAAACCTCTTTAACAAGGTCTGAACAATGTTTAATATCTCTAAAAGTAAGAATCAGATTTAAAAGTTGTGTTACACGAATAATGTCAGAAAGATGTGTAACATTTTAAAGTTGGAATGAGGTTTCTGAGTGAAAGTATGAATGAACAGTTAGCAGTTGAAGTCGCATGAAGATTTGTTGAAGTCTGAAGAATATCTCCATTGACTTCAATGTTAAAAATGTGATTAATTATGGGATGTATCTCTGGAATTATGAAAGTTATGAATGATAAAAGTAATAGCAGTCGATTCCCAACCGAGCTGAACGTTTTGATGTTTGAACGGAGTTTCTGCGATGTTGAATGTGGGAGGAGAAGACGGACAAAATAATTGGATGGAATAATAATAACTCGTTTGTCCGTAGCATAACAGTTGGAATGCTGTATCAGCATTCCCACTAAATAACAGTTGTACAGTATGCTCGTTTGCAAATTAATATGCACACTTACAGTAGCTAAAACTAATGTAGTCTAATACAAGAGTCCTGCATTGAATCACCCCTTAATGAAGATAATAGTTTTCAGTTTTGGATGAAAAAGAGTTTCAACTTGCTGACATAATGATTTGCATTATGACGTTAGGTGTGTCATCCCAGTTTATATCAATAAGGGAGGGCTAAATAGCAGAAACACCTATAACTTAATAGTATACTTGCATACCTGTGCTTCCCATTTTCTCCAGTAGCCTCCAGCTCCTCTGAAGGTGGGGACTCCGCTCTCTGCACTCACCCCTGCTCCGGTGAGGATGGCTATATTCTTGGCATTGGAGAAAGTCTTCCTGAAAGCTGCCAGGTCTGCACAAAACAAGCACAGAAATATAATATAAATGCAAAACGCACTAAACTACTGTTACATGGATTTGTGGATGACTATATAAATAACACATCAGGATAAGAATGTTAATAAAGACTACCTGAACTGGGTCTGGCCATGTTTTGCATGGCCCTGGGTATTTTCAGGTGGCCATGCAGTTGAGAGTTTATCAAACCTCTGCAGGTGAGCTGGAGCACAATCATTCGGTTTGGCTTCTAAGAAAGACAAGGATGACAATATTCACAATAGCAATTGAGCCTCGATCATATTATGTTATCAAAATGTAAACTTTTGCAATAAACGCTTTATACTTCAAATCCTTTCAAATTTAGCAAACGTTGACAAACGAGCAATGGGCTATATCAGATATGTCACTTCCGGCTTCCATGTTTGTTTGGATTAACACAAATTGTGACTACCGTAAACAACATGTTTGTTGTGCAGCTGCTGTTCCAACTTAATAGAGGATAATTCGGTCAATAATAATAATAATAATAATAGCTTGCATTTATATAGCGCCTTTCAAGGGACCCAAGGTCGCTTTACAAGTAATATAGCAAAAACAAACATAACATAACAAAACAAAAGTCAGACAGACAAAACAACAGATCGATTAGGGGTCAAGCTTGAAATGCATTTAAAACTAATGTAAGTTTCATCAACTGGCCACATGAAGGGTTTCTTCAGAGTTTGGCTAGTTTTATCTTTGACTAAACATTTGCTTACGTCTGCCAACTCAAATGTACAAACGACCAGTGGCTAGTTTACAGTGAGATGAGTTATGCACTCATGAAGGTCAATTTGGCGTTTATAGGGCTAAAAGGGTATCATGAACAAGCATATACAGCTAGCCTGCTACTTAATTGTATTATGACAATACGTGTAGCCTACTACATGTCGCAATACTATACGAAAGCAGTCATGCACTATAAGCATGGACCCTCCTAAGTCTGTTATTAGCTGGCATTAAGTTATGCTAGCTAAGCTAACAGCCTGTCAGCATGTCAAATGGTAGTTAGCTAGCAGGCTAACGGGCTAGCAGTAGTATCCAAGGAAACAGCAAAAGCTTCCCAAGCTTGACAATACGCTGTGAAGACAAAGTGGCGTGCACATGGTTTTATATTTCCCTGAACAAGTTGTGCAACATCCTGTTAGATCTGTAGGTTGCTAACTAACTAGCTACCTGAAGCCAGAACCATCAGCTGGAGGAAGCAGGAACTCAGTCGGTGTTTTGTCAGCAGCTGAAGCTATTGGATTAGTTTGGCTATGAGGGAACGAGCCCATGAGAAGGGACAGCGAGGTAAATAACAACCCACCTCGACAGGAAATGACCAGCAGAGGGAGCATTTGTACCACAGTAGAACTTAACTGTAGGCCTATGCCTTTTATGTTTTGAAGCTGAACAGTCATGCATTGAAATGTTCGAAAGTTTAAAGTTAAGGGGAAAATAAAAACACTGGCCCATTGTTGTTTATTATATCGTTGTTTTGATTATAACTTTAATATTGTAGCTGGTAAGGCTTGGCTTATATATATTTAAGTTGGCTAATCATTGTTATACATTTATCTGAATATTTTGTTTAATGAATCAGTCAATTATTCTGTCAAATAATAATGATACAATGCTATTCCAAGTTCCCAGACTCATAATTGACATACAATTGCTAAAACCTAAAGGTATTATTGAGGCAATAATATAGAACAGAGACAATAAACACATCCAAACATTCAAGAAGCTGAAATTGTTTTGCTTCATTATTGCCATTTTAATCAAACATTCATATTCCTTACATTTCTGTAATTTACTTGTATTAATGAATTGTATAATAACGTCATATCTCCTATGAGACACACAGAAGAGTTTACATTTTGTTTTAAACACCTTCATTATCCTGGGGGAAATTGGGTTTTGTGACAGTTGCTCCTGTTTAGAATGAAACAAATAAGAATTCAAATATGTATATACATGAAGTTCGAGTAATAATGTGCAATGAAATAAAATAGAATCATTATATTCATATAAACATAAAAAGTCAATGTAAAACATATCCAATAATAAATTAAATAAAAAGTATACAAACATAAGAAGTATACAAACATAAGAAGTTAAAGTAAAAAAAGTCCAATAAAAAATAGAATACACATATGTAACATACAAAGTTAAAGTGTTTACATTGATTTTTGTGAATGTGTTTTTTTTATAGGACATGTGCTCTTATTTGGAACTTGATCAGGTGGAGCATGTCCTCCTAGACCTAGAGGAAAATAAAAGAGAAAGATGCTCATCCATCCTACCACCTCTCTCTCTCCCCTTCTCCCCCTCCCTCCTCACCCACACAACAGCCCGCCCCCCTCCCACACCGTCTACCCGGTCGGGTGCACGAGTGGCTGCTGCTGCGGCGCCGTCTCTCTCGCAGTCCCGCCGGTCGCCAGTGGACGCTGCCCGGCTGGCCGAACATGGCAGCGGCCCCGGAGGAGGAGGTAGACCGCAGACCGATCCGGAGGGTCCGCTCCAAGAGTGACACGCCTTACATCAACGAGGCGAGGATCTCTCTGCACCTGGAGACAGGTAGGCAGCCACGGATGCTGTTCTCTCCTTGTCTGGGTGTGTTAGCACTAGCAGGGGGGCATAATGTAGGGACTCGGTGTGAGAAATTGCTTCATCGAGTGTAGTGACAGTTCCCACGCAGCAGCAGCATGACTTTGGGCTTTCATTGTGCAGCTCTGACCGTGTACCCATGGTGCTTAGCTGTACCTGGGTTGATGGTAACCCCACTGTGACTCAAGCACTGGGAGATTAGCCGTGAAGAATTTCCCACATAGGCTGGCTTTCATTATGCATGTGTGTTAGGTAGGCTATGTGAAAGCTAATTAACCCTTTATTGGACTATTGATGGCTATTACTCCAACCAGACTCCGCCTTGATCGTCGGCTGCAGTGAAATGCATGCGAACTTGGCCGCCTCTGGCTACTCATTTAAAATGCAGTTGTTGATGGTATTGCATTTTGGAAAAGGGGTTAGGAATGGCATGCGAAAATCCTTGCCAAATGTGGTGGCCTTATACAATCCCAGTTTGTGTGCACGCAAACACGGTCAGATAAGTTATTGTTTCCTTTGTTGCCATGGTCACAATGGTACGCTGTCACGAAGCATTGGATGATTGGAATGGATTTACTGCTAGATCTATTCATTACATTGTGTTCCTTTTGTTATGTGTATAATAAGATGATCCTGCTATGACAATACCTCCTCGTCCCTGAGGGAGGTTTCTTTAATATCGCATCAGTGCGGAGCTGTCCACTGCCCCTCGGTGCTGAAAATGCCACCGAGCAGAACACGCGCACAGAGCCCGGAGGATCTGCATGGAATCGGCATTCCTCTATTACTGATCATCCATGTTACATATATCAGTGAGGTTTCTCTTTTTTTTTTAATGAGCTACTGCATTTGGATTGTGGTCGACCCTCCCCCAGAATTGGCCGATGTGACAAATCCCAGTCACATGGTAGCCTGGCTGGCTAGGCTAGACTCGAGTATACATTTCCCATATCCGACTGATGGCAACTGTAGAGAATTACCCTTCCTGGCTGCTCTTTTGCTTTACTTAAAATCCCACAAATGTTAAAAAAAATGTTTTTATCTACTCTGTTTTTAGCACTACATTGTAGGTTAATGTGTGCAATATTCAGATTTTATTTAAAGCTACTCTTGTTTTTGCCTGCACATTTGAGAAGTGTATGAGAACAAATCGCCTAATATAGATTCTAATGAGCTCAGGAATTTGCTCACATGCTTCCTCCTTTTTTTCTTTTTGCCGGCTTAGACCTGTATGACTCATGGTACAGACCCACCTACTTATAATCTCTCTCAGTTGCCCTCTCCTTGGCCTTCAGAATTCTCCCTCTCCATTTTGTTACCTTTAAATGCAGCTCCTTCTCTTAGCAGAGTATCAGAGCCTGCCTGATTTGAGTAACATTATTCTTTCTTGGAGCTTTGTGTCAGGCATGGCTTGAATCTGAAGGAGGTGGTGGGTGGGTGGGGGAGGGGGGACTCTGCTGTGTCTTGCTCACAGTGCTGCTCCTGGCTACTAGCTGAAAACAGAGGCAGGTTGCTCAACGCTGATGTGGCATCATGCAGAATGCAGTGGGCTCTGCCAGCTTTGCTAAGAGAGGGATATTTGTAGTCAAACCTTCTATTTCATTGCTTTTGGCCTTTCCCCCCCAAAAAAATATTTTGGTCTAATCTTGCATTTTTCCTTCAGCCATCTGCCCGCCCACTCCCTTGATTCCCCTTGACTTTATGTGTGTGTGTTTGGCTGCTGTTGTTTTGCATAAATCCAGCCCACACTTTTCTTAGACGCGTGTCACCATTTATATGTGACACATATCCATGCCATCTTCAGTGTGCATGTGTGTGCTGGTGTTAAGATGCATGCTTGCCTGGTGTACGTGTGTGTGGGAGGCTGTTTGCATATGAGTCTTGGATTTAGTAAACAAGAGTTTATCACCAGGGTTTTGGCAGCTCCCTTGAGCTCGACCTTCTTCGGCCACTTTCAGTGCTGAACCATCATGAGATCATTTTACTCCAGTTTGTTTATTTGCCATGAGTGAAAAATAATCACTCTTCTACTTGCTCTTGTTGTACATTAGGCCTTAATTGACGTGATATTTTGTATTACAAACAGCTAGGCATTTATTGGCAAGAAATTGCAAGAAACTGCGAGAAGTTGCATTTGTTACCCCCCACATTTAGTATTCACATTTTCCCTTAAGTGGCTTTGAAAGTAAGAAAAATAAAAAAGTTATTATTTATCTGCTTTTAACATTATTTCATATGATCTATATTTAGATCTTTAACTTAAAAATACTATGTTTATTTGTCTGTTTTGTACCTACAGTCAACATCTTTTCACCCCAACCTCAATTCTCCCTTAACCTTACCAAAAAGAATGTTCTGCCTCAGGTTTTGCAACTGAACCTAACCAGACTCACATACTCACAACACAGTAATATGAATCACTCTCAAAGCAGTCCTTAAAAAGGATTTTAGATGGTGATGGATGGGGTGTCCGATCAGAGGCACTGTCAAATCAAATGAGATTTTAATTTAGGTAGAGATTGATAAGCTGCGACAATCTATTTGTATACAAGATGAATGTTTAATTTGTTGGCAAACATTTGCCTACTACCACACAACTTGAGTCTGATTCTCACCTTCCTTCTGGCTCTGTCCTCCACTAAAAAAAGAACCTGTCTCTTTAGCTGTTAGACATTCCACTTTCTCCCCCAGAGAGTCTCTAATGTTGTTTGTCCACTGTTTGTTGCCGGGCAGGCACACTGAGTTTGTCAGAGCTTGTTTTCTAATAAAGATATTCTTCCTGTTGTTAAATGTGTTAATGAAATGAAACCGGCCATTTTATCTGCCCAGAGAACTAACCAACATTTTTTAGTTTGTGTACATTGTTACTTTTGCCAATTTAAAAAAATGCAATTCAGGAATTGCACTACTGTGTGCTTCTGGTCTTCTTCATCATGTTTTTTGTGTGAAGCATAATGGACTAAGCTACAACAACCTTTGGTTGTGTAACTGTGTTGCATAACGGCAATTAATGATCTTTGAGTCCTTGAAAACATCTGCCTGCCCTGCTTCTAAAAACAAAGCTGATGAGATGGGGTGACTGACAAAGAGCTAAAAGGCTAAAAAGCTCAGTAGTGCTCAAAGGTGGGAGAAAATACTCTATGGGTTTGAAAGTATGCAGTTCATGCCAATTCATGAGACCAGATCCATTTCAAAGGCTGTCTTTTGGCATTCCTGTTGCGCTCCATTGTTTAAAGCCAGTCCAGATCCCAGGCAGCACCGCTCAGCTCCTGCAGTGTAAACCCAGGTCAGCTCAGTTAGAGCCAAGCCCTTCTCACAAAGACCAAGACGCAGGCATTACCACGCTCTCATTCAAACACGGAGAACTCTAATAAAGACCTGAATGAGAGGCAGAGACAGAGGAGGTGGAGGAGCAGGAAGAAGCTAGGGAGGGTGGCAGGATGGAGGATTTTAAATGATGGCAACATGAAGACTGGCACACTGAGGTGTTGTGCTTAGAATATGGTGGGAACGCTGCACAAACACACCACCTCTCACTATCTGAGTGATACTCTTTTGTCTCTCTCTGATACACATACTTCAACACTGCTTTCTGCATACATAAGCCGAGGCCTTGAGCAGCAGGAAGGTAGAAAT